CGTAATTAAACATTTCAAGTTTGTATTATACAAAGTCAAAACAACTGTGTAGATATCCCAAACCCAATAATTTCTCGTAATTAAACATTTCAAGTTTGTATTATACAAAGTCAAAACAACTGTGTAGATATCCCAAACCCAATAATTTCTCGTAATTAAACGTTTCAAGTTTGTATTATACAAAGTCAAAACAACTGTGTAGATATCCCAAACCCAATAATTTCTCGTAATTAAACATTTCAAGTTTATAGAAAGATAAAACAGCTGTCATTAAGCTTCAACTTTTCAATCAAAGTATTAAAATAATCGAGCTCATTTATGGATCTCATGTTTCGTAAAATACGTGTAGTACAGTTGTAAAAACTAATTATACTCAGATATATTGCTCTACTTCTAATAAATTTAGATATACTTTTTGTGTTCGTCACAGTTTCAAATATAATTTTAACAATGTAGAGGATTTGAAGAAAAATATCAAATAAAGCTTGAGTATCCTATATATCAGAATTAGATGTTTGGAAAACATGACGATTATTTTATTATTCCAATACTGAAAGAAACACAAGAAGATATATCAATTACCTCTCTGTCGTTAATATACCACTTTAATATCGATGGTGGTTTGGATCTTGCAGATGTACATGTCCCCGTAATATTCTCTCCTGTTGCATATTGGAAGCGAATTCCTGTTATGATAGGATTATCCTTGGGTGGAACTGTAGTAGGAGAATTAAACCTACTGTTAAGCACATATGAATATTTTAATAAACTCTATAATACCTTCTATAATATAATTGTAAACAATGTTGCCAAGTTCACTTATAATATGCGGAATTGGGTTTGCTTTTTAAAGTCACTTTAATTTTTTTGAGAGCTTGTTTTATTATGAGATCGCTTATTTGGGCTTTTTTGAAATAGTTGACTTCAACACACAGTAAAATGTAGGGGTGATTTCGGTGATTGACTGGATCAAAGAATAGGCTATACTTCATTACAATTTTAGAATCATTCTATCCACATTCTTGTTCAATTAAACAAACAAGCCCACAACTGTGAACTTTCTGGCCCGCCCACTTGACACATTTTATATTCAAATGAAGCCAGCCTTCTTGACACAGTCTATATTCCAATTAAGCCGTGCAAGTAGCACGTCTGAGAATAAGACGTAAAAGAGCAGTTTTGAGAGTCAGTGCTGCTTAATTTTCTTGCGAGATTTGGCAATACTGATTGTAGATATAACAATCAGTATTATAGAATACAAGATATATATACGCCGTAATTGTTTTTAATGTAGAGATCAGGTATTCAATAGGTGTAATACAAATATGCACGCTAAAAATCAACAGTGACAGACTTTTACTTTAAAAGATGATTGTTACTCACTTTCATTTGTTTCTCTACCCAACAAGCCCAGAAACAAAGCAAGAAACCATCGCTAAGATACCAAACCATAAAGTGACAAACCCACCAAATTGTTCATCTTTCTTCTTGTTGTTTCACTTGAGATAACTCTACAGCTACTTTAAAAAAAGTATAAAAAATCAATACACATAATATTAAGTTTTATTACACACATTCATAGAATACACTAACTTTCAGTCAAGGGGTGGGGTGGAAACGACACAAAATAAGTAATAAAAACATGTAAATGTAAAATGATGTAGGGATGGCAGTGCCATAAATAATGCAAATGAGAATATAGGGATGATACAGTTGTACGTAGATCATCCCTACATGACTTTCAATATTAAGATTTAATGTTACACTGTAAAATGCATACTTGGCTTTAATATTATTGCAGTTAGAAGTTATATATTCCTAACTGTTGGTATGCAATTTGTTTATCATAATATTATGGTCATAATATAATAATAATATCAATGTAGTGTAATTAAGAACCTAGGTCTTATGTACAAAGAAAACCAAGTTGAGTTAAAACATGTCTTGATTAATATAGACTATTACAAACCCTCGCTACGAGGTAGGTCGAATTGACCGACCTCGTAACCATTTTGTACTTCAGCATTTTACAGTGTCACATTAAATTTAACTATTGAAAGCCGTGTATAGTCGTTGTATAGCTGTATCATCCCTATATTTTTGTTTTCATTATTTTTGGTACTGCCGTCCATACATCATTTTACAATTATAAGATGCTTTTTTATTATTTATAGCATGAAAATGTAAAAGGAAATCACACAGATTTTTTAAAAAAAATCAATTAATTTTAACCATAGATAAAAAAATTCTTCCAACGACAATCACTAAATCCCGATTTGTCGATTTGTTAGTAATATATGTGCACAATGTTCAGCTCAGGGACCTTGGATGACGAACAAGCAATAAAACTTTCTTATCAGAAACTTACAAATGTAGAAGATGCTTATACAAACACCAAACCGTACAGTTATATTGCCTAGTAAGTGCTTTAATCCGAAACATGCTATATTACGCCAACCATTTACACATAACAAATGAAAAAGTTATAACTTGTAACGTTCATTTACGTGCTTTGTTATTTAAGTGAAAAACATTGAGAGTAAAAACTGTAATTTACTCTATTAAGAAAACATAGTTTTATACAGCTTTTCTACAAATTCTAAAAGCTAATTTGACTTGATCTGACAAATGTATATGTTTGTAACATTTATATAACATAAACATCATATGGAAATAATTTATTGTGTCTTAATGGACTTGCTTACCATTCACTTGCAAAAAACTGTTGGAAGATTTCTTTATATCGAATAAAGGTGCTTCTGACGAGACTTCACAAGAGTAATTTCCTTCCGATTCTAAATCTGTAGTATAGAGAAACACGTGTCCGAACGACGACTTCCCTTTCTGAAACATTAATAATAGTTATTTTTATATATATTATTTTCATCTTACATAATAATAAAAACATTCTAGCTTTAAAATAATAATAAATATAAAAATATACTTATCAGGCTTTAAAAATGAATATAATTAGTTATTTTGAAAAAATACATATCAATGTTTTTCAAGTAATTGCATTTAAGAAGAATGTAATATTGTAGCTGGTGGGCAGAGCACAGATACCCCGTCATGTAGCTTTGTGCTTAATTACAAACAAACACACAAAAAATACTGTATCACAGCGATATCTCGAGGATAGGCACAAAATAGGTAGTCTATTGTGTATCTTAGTGCTTAACAAGAAACAAACAATTGACGATGAGTTTAATTCGCAACGAAACTAGTCTGAAATTAATAACTTATTGTAAAACACTGCAAATTAAATATATTATGATTGTATAATTTGTTAAATTCAACAGATTGGTTGATAGCTGAGAAATATCTTTAGTGTGTGCTTTTCATACAGTTCTAGAAAAATCTCGTTCTATAATACTTTTCTGTTTGCTCAATAATTTAACTACCAAAGTAGCTAGAGCCTGGAAGATTGTAATGCTTTTAGTTGGTTGTCCTAGGCTAAGATAAAATACTATAGTTAATAATGAGTATACTTATAATGAATTATGAAACATTGTTGACTTCTGGAAAGATATTTCATAGTAGAAGTTGCTGTTAGCAGAATGATGGCAGTTAAGTTAAAATATCATAATTATCATATACAAATTAATAGATATCTGTTGTGTAAGAATATACTGAGAATTATACAATGCGCTTCTAATTTCAGGAGCAAATTCTACTTGTTTTCGTAATACCTTATGGTTTAGTTACTTTATTTTATCTTTCCAGCGTTTTATTTTTAATTTTTGTCCAATCCTTTTAGATTCCCAATAGATCCTGACACGTCATCTTTAGTTTACTCCAAATTCTCAGAAGTGTCACTTTTTTTTACGATTATTCTTTGATCCCTGTAATATGGCTTTCACCTATTTGATAGGATAAAGTAAGCTTAAGAATATAATACAACAGACCTTTTACTTATCTAAAAGATGTCTCTACTTTTTTATGGAAGAACACTTTACCAGTGATTCTTCCCGTATTTAACAATTTAAACGTTTTAGAAATATTTTAAAGTGTGCATTTTTGTATATAAAAGCACATTTTCATAACGTTATTTCACATTTTAATAGACTTTTAAGATATCATGGATCTCTTTGACATTATAATTCAATTTTAATGTGTTTTACTCTAATCATTTAACTAGTCTTTCATTATGGTACTTTCAGTTATATATATATATATATGTATTATTTTATATTGCGATGTTTAAGCCTTGCCATAGGACTCTTTCCATTTTCTAGAGATCTTATCATGTGTTGTTCTAGATTACGTCTCTTCTATCCATAATGTGTCTGATGTGTAGGCCGCCTGTAATGTCCTTTACTCACCACAAGTAACCTGTATTAGTATATTGACATTAACTTCTGATTTTAATATACTACTCTTACGTTCTTACTTATATTGTATTGTTTCATCAGATGGGTACTCTCGCTGTTTGCGATAATGCACTTAACAATTAAATAACATTATAATATTCTTCATGTTTTTCAAGAGGTGTGCTCTACGAAAAAGAATATGTTTTAGTACGATCAAAATCGTAATTTGTTGTAATCTTTGTGTGTGTGTGTGAAATAAATTATGAAATCCAATTTGTTCGTGGAGTCGCAACCTATCACTGAATTATTTATCTGGTTTGGGACAAGTTAACTCCTATTCAATAACCCAGGTTAGGGATAAATCTAGGAAAAACAGCAGCTCAATTACAGTTTATGTATATTGTCTTTCTAGAGCTCTTTTTCACCAACATATTAGTTATATTAACATATCATGGACTGTTCATCTGTTTAATGGGTTTTCGATCCATTCTTTAAAGCATTCTACTCGTTAATTCCTTCTCTACCTGAGATTACTTGTATGATTTATAAATTTATTTTCAACTTTTTAACCAATGGTCTCAAAAGCCACTTTCAGAAAATAATTTCTAGGTTGCACATTCAATCCCTTACTAATTGTAATGTAAGACTAAGTTAAAAGTTGTAATTTGTTAGGCAAATGTAATTTAGTAATTACTAGAGGACAAAGAGTAGCGTACAGTTACAATGTCTGCTCAACTAAGCTTAGGGTAATTAGTGAAAAATGAGGTAGATTACGCGCAAAAACAAATGATATATTTATATTGAAGCAAGGCGTGACTCATGTTTAGCTTGTCCGGACTAGAAAATAAAGTGTGCATTCCGTTGTGCCATAAAAGTGACCGTTAATTCCTATTGTTCGATCAGAGTAGCTGAAAAAGAGCACATATCAGGTAATGTTGACTTGCTTGCTTGCTTCCCTCAGTTCAAAGTTGTAGATGGATATGCGCATGTTTACGTATGTTTGCATAAAATATTTTTGTAACAAATGAAGACGTTAATATTAATTCTTCACATTAATATAAAATAATAAAGTCGTTGTGGAAAATACGTAAACATATCTACAGTTTAAAATATTTTTATTCAAATATTTCTCAAGTGTCTGCATTAGTATTTAGGAAGATTTAATACCTAGTCTGCGAATCAGAGATACATATTTCGTGGCCGAACACTATCGAGAGGTGAATTTTTTGGTAGTAAATTGTATTTTTTTTAGATTAACAAATCGAGCTTTTTATCGGGGTAATTTTTATTAGTTCTAGCTTGAATAATGAATGCCGTTAAAACCTCCCTTAATCTCCTTGAATTCGGACTCACTGACACGCAGACATGATGTTCAAAGTACCACAGACTTCTTCATTCCCCACATCTATGAAGTTATTCTACTGTAAAATCATTCCCAGAGATACAAGTAAAGCTTAAGATGTGATTTATACAATCGACAATTTATTATTCAATAAATAGTGAAAAATGTGGTTTCTTCAGTTATAATATGTGTACCTTCTATTACGAAAGCAAAAATCACAATTTTCTCGTAATGTTCTATAGGAGCAAAATGTCAAATAAAAAAAAATGTTATTGCAGTAGATAGCTCTAAAACTAATCTTGGGTTACTAGTAGTTTGTAATCCAACATTTCGTTTTCAATGGTTCAACAATAAGGCCACAAGTCTACAGGAATTCAAGGCCAAAGTGGTGTGTTGCAGTGCCCCAAACACCACTCAACCACCAGGATCCTCTCCTCCCCTTCACGGGTCGCCACTCACGGCAAACGTGTGTGTGGATTTTTAGATCCCAGAGAAGGTAACTGAAAATACAGAACCTTCCCTGGGAGGTACCCTCACCACGTACAGGAATCCACCCCGAGAGATAATGAAATAGAGAGATAATTCTCTAGTTTTACTGTTTTTGTGTTTTACATTGTAGGTTGTTATAATTAATGCTGCCCCCAGTGGCACAGCGGTATGTCTGCGGACTTACAACATTAGAAACCGGGTTTTGATACCCGTGGTGGGCAGAGCACAGATAGCCCATTGTGTAGCTTTGTGCATAACTACAAACAAACTATAATTAATGTTTATTTGGAATACATTTTAATAATACCAATTGATTAGTCGAAGGATACAGAGGGAACTTTTTTATGGGCTTACGTCTTTTATTCATAGTTTTGAAAATTATTTATTCTGAAGCAAATATATTGGCAAATTTACACTATATGTTGGAATGACACAAACTTGTAAAAGTTTTCCGAAGGAATCATTTCATATTTCTTGCTGTTAACAACATTTCTTACCCTGAGGTTCGGAAGCTATTGTTCTCTACTCCATCTCGGACATATGCCACTGCACTATGCTCCACTGCTATGGTGAGAGTGAAGACAGACCTTTCCATGCCTCCATCTGAGTCTTTTTCACATCATGTGAGGGTTCTTCTGCCCTCCATGGATAACAGAGTTGACCAGTCTGTGTCTACTCCAATCTCTTTCCCCACCATTCCTTCCAGTGACTGCATGGGTCCACCTCCTCAGGCACCAGCCTCCGGTGTCTGCTCAGGTCCTTCTTTAGCCCCAAGATGCAGAACGATCATTTGATCACGTCCTCAGACATTGGATTCCAAGTCTGATGACAAAGATCTGCCCACTTGTTCAAGGACAGGATTCATGGAGGTCGATCGACCTTCTTCTAGTAAAAAAAAACTGCGTGGTCGTAAACCAAAGAGTTCCCCACCCTGTTCTCCTCCACCTACATAAAAATGGCTACTCTGATACAGTGGACCTGTCTTTCCTTACAGGAAACATTTCTGAAACCTGCCGATACAGTCACCTTTTGGCAGTTTTCTTTGTACGAGAATAAAGGGTTGTGTGATGGACGAGTGCATGTAGAGGTGGCACTGCTGGTCGACCAGCATGTGGCCTCTTTATCTGTGTTCCTCTATACACTCTTGGAGGCCATAGCCATTTGCGTTTGCTTGGATCGTACCATCACTGTTTGTTCTCTCTAGCTGTCTCCTGGGGAGACTTATGATCAATCGGATCTTGATGCTTTTGTTGACTAGTTGCCATCTCCCTTTTTAATCTTGGGAGACTTTAATGGACACAACCCCCTCTGGAGTGGTGCTTATATTGATAGGAGGGGTCATTCTGTATGCTCTCGGATCACAACTTTTCTCACTTCAATACTGGATCTTATACTTATTTTCATGCACATAGTCAGTCTTTCGCTGCCATTGATGTTTCAATCTGCTCCCAATCACTTTTCTTGGGCATTGACAGTGACCCACCACGGGGCACTGATCATTTTCCTATCATTTTATGGGAGGTTGGCCATGGTCGAAGCCACCCGACCTGAGTGCTGTGGTGGAAGCTGGACCAGACTGACTGGCCCTCTTTCACCTCTCTTTCTGAACTTGATCCCACCGTTGTCTGTCTGTCTTGAATAGACAACTGTGTGGTTGCAGTGACTGACTATATCGTCTAGGCAGCTGCTCACTCGACACGTTT